AATACTTTCAGATGACGTTCGTTGATTTTAACTTTTCCATGGGGTTCGTGAAGGATGTCACATACCAAGCATTTTTAATATCTTTGTGTGAGATTCCACAGGAATTTGACACCGATATGCCATACGAGCGTTTATCAGTTTGGTGGGAGTACAATTCGACTCTCTGACAACGAAGTGTGGCACAGTCATGACCTGACTCTTTGATATGTTCAATGATTTCTAGCATATAATTACTTCAGCCGTAGTGACACCACATCTTTCTTGAGTACTTGGAATTGATGAGACTTCTCACCGGAACACCAACCGCTCCACATATCGTGCCTCCCGGTACCGTTACGCCGCGCCTTGAGCGCGTATTTGTGAGGAGGACCGATCCACCACCGGCACAAGTGGCGTTCGCTCAACTCGACATACAAGAATAAATACATGGTGTTTAAAAATTCCTTGCCTCTATTGAATCCAACCTTGCCGAGATCATCTCCTATTTGCACCCAGGATCGTCTCGAGCGACCGCGGATGCTACCGTAATTAATCGGGGAGAACTCTTTTACCTCACTTTTATACTTTAATTTAATCATCGTTTTGGGACAAAACGAAATAAGTGAGGGGGATAGTTGAATTTCTCCTTACTTATTTGTGCTTGAAATTGAAAATTTTTGAAGTTAATATGCTTGAAATTGGTTTCATAATTCCTTGACTTGTTGATTAGTTTGATTGATTTTGTAATAAATTGCTAATATTGCTTTGAATTGATGATTAGTTGCATGATAGTTCGTTGGTTTAGTTACTTGATTTTCGAAATTTTTGTAAGTTTGATTAATTAAGTGATGCGTGTACTTGATTTAATTAAACCAATTTGGTGAGACTTGAGCCTATAATGAGCATGATATTTTGATTTTGTTCCTTGCTTTTTGTTTATTTGAGTGTGCCAAGCATTGTATTGCATGCTAGAACTTGTCATTTAATACTTTTCGAGGTTACATGCATATGGATTTAATGTATTTGGATGATAGAGGCATTAGGATTAACCAACTTCTTCTCCCAAATTAAAAAGCTACCCTTTAATTACCCCTTAGTGAACCCAATTTGAGCCTAAACCTTTCTTTGTTTTCACCCAAATTCAATTAAAATTAACCTTAGCCTTTTCTTTTCTTTTACCCCTCTTTTTTCCACCCTTTATCGAAACTTTGGGAATTTGTTTTCACCACTCAAATCACCATTTTTCTTAAAAGAAAACAACAGTCAAAACAGTGAAAATTAGCTGCTGGAGTTTTCCCTTTTAAAATAACAGTTTCGAAAAAACAACAAAAATAAAAGTTTCTCCTTGTTCGAATAGTAGGAAAAAAATGATAAAAAAATATTCCTTCATTCGATTATCCTTTGGTTATTTTCTTCTTTGTTCTTAGTTTGATTTGTGGCATAATTTGATTTTCCAATGTTTTTGGCATATTTCCCTACCCAAACCTTAGCCAAGTTACAACCCGAATAAAAGACCTCATGACTTTTACATTGAATTTGTTTTTAACTAGTGGAGATTAAATTAAATTACAAGCCTATGGTTGTGCTTTAACTTTTCTTTGTCTTGAGTGTTTCTTGTCCTTAAACACTTAGAGCGAATGAGCAAAACCTTTCTGAGGTGATCAAGTTATGTATCATTAGATTAATTTGCTATTGGAATGTCTAATTTCGATTGTTTCTTGGCTTAATCACTTACTTGAAATGCTTTCTTTGCTTAATTGTGGTTTGTTAGAACAATTGAGTTATGAAATGAGTTAGGGAATGACAACCTATATTTTATGCATGTTAATTGAGAAATGCTTGAGGACATGCATTAGATAAGTGAGGGGGAATTTGACTGAGGTTTATTTTGTGCCACTTTTCTTGTTTAATTGCTAGTTGTTTGTTCACGTTTTCTACTAAAATGGGCGCTTTTACATGCTTTTTGTGCATGAAGATAGATTCTGGAAAATGTGCTAAAAGGGGGCCAAAACTACACTTTTTGTTCTAGAATCAAGACTAGAAAAGTAGGCATGAAATTGGGCATGAAATACTAACAGTGACTCAGCAGCTTCTAGAAGGTCCAGTCATCATCTAATCAGCAAGCTTCTGGAAGACGTGCGAACGGCAGAGCAATTCAAATTCAAGAAATTAGATTTATCTTTTAAAATTAAATTCAAACATTTTTCAGAATTATTTTTTAATTTTATTTGAATTATTTCCTAGCTTTTCTAGGGTTTTAGAGGCTATAAATACCCACCTCGGGTAAGCCATTTTCATCATTCAGTACTTCAAAATTCTCTTGTTCTTTCTTTGTTTTATACTAAGTTCTTTCCCTTTTATTTTCTTGTTCCTACTTTTTAAGTTTTTGTTTTTAAAATGTAAAGTATAACTTTTTTCATGCTTAGTTAATTTTCCTTTCTAGCTATGGGTAAAACTGATGACTTAATTCTGAAAATATAATTGAATAGCAATTAATAATTTAGAAATTTTTCTCTCATTCTCTGTGCCTATTTTCTTTCTTTATTCGCAATTTTTTTGAAACTAGAGATTGACTTCGGTATTGATCATTGTCGTGATTAAATATTTATGGGAGGAAGGATCGGCTCAACGCACATTTGACTTACTAGGAACACAATTTAACAAGATTGCCTTGTTAAGTGGGAATTGAGATCGGATAAGCGATTATTGAAATATCTTGTCCGAGTTGGTTGCAAATGCACTTGGGTCATGATCATTATCAAGATTGTCTTTGTTTTATTAATTTTCAAATTTGAAATCGAAGATTCACTTGGGTATTCAGTGTACAACGTAGTCGTGTGGATTGCCCATGCTTGATGTGGTAACCGACGTAACTCCCGAAGGGAAAATCCGTTTCGATGATCCGAAGAATTTGAGTTATAACTATTACCCAAGGATGCCTAAATCAACAACATTTTCAAGTTTAATTTTAGTTTCTTTATTTTTATTTATTTAATTTAGTTTCTTCACTTTCTTTATAATCTTTATTTTAGCTTAATTTTCCCAAACAATTAATCCCCGTCATTTTTTTTTACTTTCCACGCAAACACGCCAAAGGTCCTTAATCAAAGAAGCGAAGAAAATCACTAGTCTCCTTAATCCCTGTAAGATCGACCCTATTTCTCTATTATCATCCAATCTAATTTTCTTATTTACTATGTTTTATTCAAGAAGAAAAGAAATTATTTGACGCGAAAAACGACACGCATCAGTTAACCAATGGATTTATGTGAGAATTTGAAAGAGAGAGATAGCATGAGAGAGAATACGAGTAATCTAGGTTAAAGTTGGGGGGAGAGTTCCCCTTTTAGTCTTTTTTTGAGGTATAAACATCTTTGTTATAGGACGGTTTGTGTTAGACCTATGAGGGATTGGTGGTTGTTTATAAGTTGATTTAAATAAGATGGTTATAGCTGTTGCAGGTTTATCTATGACAAATTATGTGAGATTGTCAACGATCCCATGGTGGGATTTTCATAACTCCCGATGGATCATAAGTAGATGTGTTATTTTCAGATAATGTATTTGGAGGATATCTTCAATTGTATAATAAGTTTTTTGACAAAAAGGTAAAACAATTTAACTAAAAATGTAGGGTCATATGGAAGATAAAAGCCTAAGTCAAGCGCCAAAACTACCCTCAACAAAACGTTAGGGATCAAACTACATCAAAAAGTCTTGGTCCAAATTGCATATCAAAACCAAAGTTAACGACCAAAAGATACATTAACGCTTTATTTTATTTTATCAAAATCTTTTGGGGTCTGCACTGCCCGACTTTTTTGGCAGGAAATTTACCCTTAGAAATTTTAGGGCTTGTTCCCACCTCCAAAATTAGGCCACAATTGACGAGATGATGATTTGGCTCAGTGCTGATGAGAGTGAGGGTTACTTTTTAAGGCAAGCCATCATTTTAAATTTTATCACAATCCTCCTCTTGGTTGACTCTTGATATCAACTTATTTGGTTTATTTTTTCAAATATTATTAAAACAAAAATTAATACCAAAAATAATTTTTATCACAAGTTTATAAAATTTTATTGAATAATTACTTTGACTCTTATTTTTTTGAAATATTTTAATTCTAACATTTTATTTTGGAGCAAAAATATCTCTCTATAAATGAAAACTATTAGTTAACAAAATAATTAACGCTACAAAATAGAAGTTTTTTACCCTAAAATAAAATATTGAGGGCCAAACTGCTCCACAAAAAATAAGAGTCAAAGTGACTATTTGATTAAATGTTAAGAGCTCTTTTACTCTAAAATAAAACGACTTTTGCCTACTTGAGCGGCTTCCTCGCCCATGTAGGGCGTTGGAAAAAAAATTCCTCATATAGGGCTCTAACCAAATTATTTCTTGAACTGGGGTGTTTGCTACAGTGACCTCATTGGTCGCCAAGTGCTCCTTGCGACAAAACCTCCTCTGTTGTAGCAACTCTTCTCTCTTCCCTCGCAGTTGCAGCTCCATAGGTCGCCAAGTGTTCCATAGGTCGTTCTGTGCTCCTGGAGACCTATGGTGGTCATTGTAGCAATCACCCTATTTAAGTAAATAATTGTTCGACTGCACTATGTGAAGAATTTTTTTTCCATTGCATTATTCAACCACTTTTGCCTAGTTGAGCTGAAGCCTTTATTAATCTATTTCTATTTTCACACGAACCAAAATGACAATTTTAATAAACGTCTGAGGTTAATTTTCACATTATGCCTTTATTAATCTATTTTCTATTTCTCTTGTTATGGGTTTGTTTAATGTCCAAATTATGAGGTCTACTTGAGCTGAAGCCTAAGTTGCTCCAATTAATATATGGCCCAAAAACATGGACTAAAAGATATAACCTATTATATTAACACTTGAATGCTTTAACTAGAACCAATCCAGTGACTCCACTGTTTCCTTTCCTCCAATTCATGTTTCAAATAGAACAACACAAACTGTATGTTACACTTTTCTTATTACAATAACATGTATATTTTGGTACCAATAAAAGATGAAGAACTGAAATATCAACCAGAAGTTACCTCTATAAATTTATGACAAGCCCTTGTCCTTGCAATGTCTGAAACCTTGCTGTCCTCAACCTGAATCTGTCTCAAAAGTGGACAATTCAAGACAAAGAACTCCACATCCTGAGTTTCAATCCCATGACAGTTCATAATATCAACACTTTGCAAGCTTTTGCAGGTCTTAGATATGGAAACCATAGTAATACTCGTTAGCTTTCTGCAACCTCTCAACCTCAATTCGGCCAGATTATTGCAAGAAACTAGCATAGAAACCAACTCTTTATCGACCAACATTTCATTGTAAGACAAGTCCAGTTTCCTTAGCATCTTCAAATTTTGACCCATTGTGGCTAGCAACCCTAGTTCTCTATCCACAACATCACAATTTATTAAAGCCAATTGTTCAAGTGTAGGGTTCAAGGCAGTCCCGAGAAGCTGCAGACCTTCACCGGTTACCAGACAGCAACTTTGAAGCCTAAGTGTTGAGAGGCTTCTTGTATTCATAGCAATGGCTAAGAGGTGATCGTTATCAAGGTCTAATGGCAATCGAAGGTCAAGTTTCTGAAGATTACGCCTGCAAGTTGTTATGAATTCAAGCAACACTTGTCTGCTACATCCATCGTGGATCAGTAATGAATTCAATGAAGCACAATTCTCTGCTAATCGTAAGAGTACTCTATCAATTATGCTCCTACATTTCCTTAACTCTACTTCTTGAAGACCTTCCACGCAGCAGATAAATGATGAAAAAGACTCTCCATCGCCAACACTCTCACAGCTCTTTAGCTGTAATTTGTTGAGCCTTTTGCAGTTCCTCCATAGCCAACTAACGCCCTTATCAGCTGCCCGAATTCCTGACAAACAGAGAGTTTCTAAACCGAATTTTACATCCAATTCTTCATTTGAAATCGGCTCAAATCGCTTATCTTCGTCATCAACACCACCAGCAGTTGAACACACATACAAAAACAACTCCTTCAAGCAAGAAAACGAAACAACCCAGTTGAGAAAAAGAGGTCTGGATAAAGAAACAGTGATTGAAGTGAGTTTGGAACAAGATGTTGATAGGGACAAGAAAGGAAGACCAGAAACTGGGCCGGCTAAGAACCTGAGATGACGCAGGTTAGAACAAGAAGAAGAAACAATGGAAAGCAAGTGGTCGGAAAAGGCAGTGTCGGTTGAGTTGTTGATGGAGGAGGTGGCATCAGATAGAACAAGACTGACAAAGGAAAGAGAAGGGTACTGAGAAAGAAGAGAAGACAGAGAGACAAGAGTAGAATTGTGTGGAAGGAACCTGAGAGAAAGAGATGCTTTTGAGACTCTGTAAAGGTTAAGCCAACGTTTGGAAACTAAACAAACTGATAAAGAAGATGATGGTTTTGATGGCAGTTTTCTGAATATTTCTTGAACTAATTCATCGCATAACATGCTATCCATGGTCTGTTTCTTTGCAAACTTGAGAGTTTTTTGTGTTCTATGTGAGGCTTTCAGTTCCTTTTCTGGGTTTTGAAAACTGTTTTCGTGGCTGTGATTTAAAGGCTGAATCTTGATTATCTGAGAATTTACCTAAGCACATATGGAAGCCCGTGGAACACATGTTGGAAGTAAAACAAGCTTCCCCATAGAAAACAGGAACCAAAACAAACAACTTTTGAACAACTGACTTGTAATTCTTTTTCAAGTTTTTTATGTTCATTTCAAGATCAAAGATTTGTATATATAAATAAAATAATATACTATGGCATTTAATTGTAAATCATAATAATTAGTTAATTATTCTTGCCTTTTTCACCCAAGGTTTATAGGTGATTGATTAAAGTAACAAATTATCACGACTTAAATTTTTAATGCTGTTGGTTTAGTTTCTGTTTTAGTTAACTTACCTTATTGATGTCAACAAGTTAAAATATGATAAGGATTTGTACTAATAATAATGTTGTAAGTTATCATGATCCAACCATATTATAAAATTATTGCTTTCAAAACAATTCTCTTACACCAACAAAGACTTTCAATTGATTGTTTTTTTAAATAATCACCTTATCTTACCGTTCAATTTATAACTTAAAATTATACTTGGAGGCAAAGGAAAATAAACCTATAAGCAAGCTAAGATTTCTTTTAAAAAATATATCTTTAATATGCTTGTATCAGAGAATTTTAGTTCTATACTCTACATTAAGCTCTTATTTGTTTGAAATTAATTTTTTATTTTCTAAATTTTATTGATCTCATTTATGAAAAGTTTAATTATTGTTTTCCTTCATGGGTGTTTCGGAAATGTGAATTTCATCTACCGGCTTTGGCAAGAGTGCTTTGGGCTTGGTATAGGTATTGGCTACCACGAAACACCAGCTCGTTTTCTTTCACTCCCCGCCTTGACGAACTTCCATGCCAAAAATAAGGTTTTAATTTTTTATACATAGGAAGGTTGGGTGGTTTGATGTATCGAAGGAGTTTCCTCACAAAGCGACGTAATTTGTAGTTTAATACTAAGAGGTTTTGGTAGCAAAAGCCCAAAGTCTTTGTCTAAACACTTACTGCCATAATGCAAAAAAAAAAACTCTTTTAGATTAAATTAAATAGTGACTTTGATCTTTATTATCTTTTGAATTACTTTTATCCATAACGTTTTATTTTAAGACAAAAATACTCTTAAATTTTAACTTACTAATCACTTTGACTCATGTTCTTTTGGAGCATATTAGACCCAATTTTTCATTTTATGATAAAAAGACTTTTTAGAACGTTGATAGTTTGTTGACTAACGATTTTTACTCATATAATGGCCTTTTTGTTCCAACTTAAAATGCTCCAAAAATAAAAATCAAACCGATATCGACATTTATTTAACATTATATCATTTTTATTCTTCTGAACTTTTATTGATTATAACATTAACAATCAAGAACACGTTTTGAAACAACATTAAAAAATTGCAGCTTCGCCGTAAAAGGTTTGAACAGATGCATCGATCGTTAAAAAAATTGAAGAAGAAAAAAGATTCCCATTGATCAAATAATTAAACCAGCAGCAAAAAATCAATAGAGATCAATTTGCAACTTTATGAGTGAATGAAGTTTTTTTTCTTCTAATTGGTTCCTTATTTTTTTTATGGTGGATGTTGAATATGTTCCTTTGGTATCTCGCGTCTGCTTTGCTCATCCGTGACAAATATGTCGCTTTACCTAGAGAAAATGGAGTTGGCATATAAAACAAACATATTCAATTGGAAGCTAAGGTCAGCAAGGCATCTAGTCCTTATCATTTTCTTCCTTCTACTTATATTTAAACCTTCAACAGTCTACCCCTATTTTTAAATAGTCAAAACAAGAGATGATTCCCTTCAACTCGAAGAAATTATGTCGACATAACCAATATTCTGCAACAATATCATGCCTAATTTTCTATTTCATGGCCCATCTTTTTCATAGAAAGCAAGGATGGATGCAAGCATTTATTTGTGAGTGGAAGAATGTCACGGAAATAAGTAGAGATATTAACTCTGTGTTTCCGGATCACGTCGAATCAATTTGGCACAAAAATAATCATAAAGCGCTCATCAATCAGTGGGTTACCACCATTCCTTAAAAGACCTGTAACAAGTGTGCCAAAACCTCATTCTAGTCCTGCCAGCTAGCTACAAAATCAGACCCATATCATCCAAGTTCCAGAATATCGTGAGAGTTTGACGAGCAACGATCTCATGTACTCTCCAAGCTTAATTCCAGTTTTCATTAAAAGGTTAAAATTAGTGAAGGCAAACAATGAAACTAAAGTGCACTTGATACCAAGTTTGCAGGTCCAGAATTAAGACGCGTCAACAACTATGAAACAAAATGCTAACACATAAGACCCAGCATGGCAACTGTACCATACCAATGAAGAGATATGTAGCACTGTTCCATGCCCAAAGAGACTCAACCCACATCCAGAAGTCACCCACATTGGCACTGCCGAAACCGTCAAGCATCCCTTTAAACAGAAAAAATGCAGCTGGCGGAAAGGCAATATGCCCTAAAACCAGATTGCAGATAATCCTGCAACAACTTCTCAAAGTACCAACTCTAACATCAAGCTTTAAAGGTCGAGCAAGTAAACACATTGGGACCATCAACAAAGCTCCAATTTCTGCAGTAGCAAAATTAATGACTGACATGAGCCCCAACCCAATGAACACTGAAGAGATAGTCACTGATTTCACAAGAGCCCATTCTTTCTCTTGAGATGCTTTAACACAAGCTAAAGGAGAAGCAAGAACTAAGTTCAGGATAAGAAGGCTGAGGATTGAAAGCAAAACCCAGATCATGAAACTGGTCGTTGGACTACAATCAGGTATTTGGCAGATGAAATATGGGAGTAATGAAACGATAGCACCCCATAAGTGAACAATAAAAACTGATTTTGCTGAGTTAAGCCACCTCCAAGATCTGATAGTGATACCATGTTCATCAGTATCAGTGATTGCAAATAGGAATGAGCTATCACCTTTTGAACTATTTGCATCAACATAGAGAGAAGCCGCAACCATGGGAAGAGGTGCTATGAGAAGTGCAAATGCAATCATGTAAACTCCTACTGACACAAACTTACTAGGAGATGTTAAGAGGTACAAGAAAAATGATTGGTGAAACTTCTCAAGGAGGTTATTCACTGATCGTATGACTCCTTCAATCAACCTGCGCCAGGCACATGAAATCCTTCAGAAAACAGAACTGCCAATAACAAAGTTATCTACTATTTATCTATAAATCGTAAAACCTCTCCAAAGGCTACTACCTGTCTATACTCTATGCAACTTAACTACAAGACTATTCACATTATCTAGAGTTCAAAATTTCATGATAACCTCCTGTCGATCAAAAGCCACTTGCTGATGAGAACTACAATAATAAAAAAAATGGAAAACAAAGGGAAGTAACACTTACCGGCCACCTCTCAGAAGAATGTCACTGCACCAGACTTTATCCAACGAAAATTTAGGTGAAATCTCCAATGTGATTGCATCAACTTGGTAGTCACGGAAAGCACCGTGAGGGCCTGTTGGCACACCTAGAGCCTAACAAAAAACAAAAGAAATATGGATAAAGTAAACATCTTTTCAATGAACAATGAGAAGCACAAATGTGCATCTCCTTAAAATTTAAATTCATCTATTTAATACTATTAGAAGTAGAATATTTGTGGCAAATGTAACATAAAAATGGAGGAAAACAATGAATAAAATCAGAGATAACCAAGTAACAACCGTATTATACCTGATAATACAATGAACTTGCAAGTGTAGCAATGCCTTCAACATACTCTGTTGCAGGTATACCAAATTTGAATTTAGGGTTTAAGCTTTTAGCTATAGTTGCTAGAGATTCAAAGATCTCACCCAAACTTTTAAGCCAACCGGAATTAAGGAGGGACCACAATTTCTCCACATTTACACGCAAACCTTGTCTATGCACTGCCAAATAATTTACAACATTGATGAGGTCCAAGTTTGGCATCTGTCCGTTAGATGCCTCAGCATAAATGCTAACAGTGTCATCAAATTGTTCACTTTGATCTCTAACCTTCAGAACCAAAGCAGCAGTCATTGTCCCAGCACGCCTAAAACTATTGGAGAATTTACTTCCAGCCATAGAATGAACTTTTATCTCAAAAAGATAATTAATATCTGGACACATCTCAGCGTTCAGGGTACTATGGCTGCTAAATTTAGGAGTCTGATATTCTCTTAACCAAGCAGAAACTGCTGCATATTCGCCAAATTGCGAATCAACAACAAGCCATATAATATCCTTGGCTAGCCAAGTAACTTGAGTGAGCAAGGAAAAAACCGAGTATGCAATGCCTAAAGATAAAACCTCACCAAAGCTACTCGTTAGGGCATTGTATGGTGTTACCAAGACAATGGCCTCCTTCCCATCACCACGAGGAGCTCTTATAATCCCAACAGTATTGATACCATATGATGAACAACTGCAATTCTCTTGTATCTTACCAGAATCAGGACTAGAGAAAAAGTGCAATGGATGAAACTGATTCATCTGAGGGTGAAATTTGTGGAAACTAACTTCAGCACCCACGTCTAACATGTATTTCGCAATGATTTTGTGACTTTCTCTGAAATGAAAATATAAACAAGGGAAAGAGAATCAGATCACATTTCTTGGACCCATTTTATCCATGTATTGTTCAGTGGTAGGCGATAACTACAAGCTCATAATCCAAAAATGTGAGAGAACAATTGCATATTTAGTCAGTTATGAAAAAGAATCTCAAAATAAACAAAAAGATCAAATTCTATCTATTTTTAAATCAAATATTGATCACATTCAAATTCAAGCATTCTTTGTTAAGCGCAGGTCAGCTAAATTTCAGATTCCATATGTTTAGGTGTGGGTTTTATCTATTGCTTTAGCTTCCCATGTTTAACCAAATCAATATGACCCGTGGCAATAAACAAGAACCCGAAATAAAGGGATGCTACATCATAAACAAAACAAGAATGGACATGATAACAATAACTTGCTCTTAAACATAAGCTCTCAAGCATTCTCTGTAAATACAACATGTTACAATACTCGAACTCTTTGTGCATAGAACAACAAAACTATTGCAAACAAGACTTTAGAAACACATATGCACAGAACCACCAC